ATGACACTGGTAGGCGCCGCCGTCTGCATGAACCCACATAGGGGATTTACGCACCCTTTGTTGAGGTTCGCCTTTATGCCCACCTCCCTCGTGACCAGAATGCCCGAGCACCTCGATCTTCGATGCCTCTTGTGCCTGTTCGGGGAAGCAAAACAGTGAAAAGGGAGCCTGGTTGAAGAACATACCCTACGAATCGCAACCCGAATGAAAAAAAGAAAGCGAATTCCTTTTTGTTTCCTGTCTGCGACGCCACTCTCCCATGCGAATCATAGATGGAGGGGAAGCAACCAGCCGAAAGAGAAAGAGCAGCTTCACGTTTTGCTCCTTAATTTTGGAGGATTCTGCAGGATTTCGAGCAATTTTGCCCAACATTTTTTCTTTTTCCAATATTGTGGGAGACTGAACAAATTCCTATAAAGAAGGTTATGTGGTGTTGTTGGTTTATCACACCAGTCCAACACACTGTAGGCCTTCGGTTCGATCTCGGACGGAACCAATAGCTGCTCGCATTCCGGCCAAAGTAACGTTGCGCCATTCTATTGCAAGCGTTCTTCCGTGCATATAACTTCTTTCGCTCGGGTGTCACCCTTTGGGAAATGCAAACGGGTTGAAGTTCTTCTCGAACGAAGAGCGCTGTGAGGCATCCCTTCGCCGTCGCTGCAACAAGCTTAGGCACCAATTCAGCTCAAGCGAGGGGAAGGGGCGCGATGGCCAAAGGGTCATTCAAAAAGTCACTTGTCATTCAAAAAGACACTTGTCATTCAAAAAGACGCTTGTCAGTAAACTGACGTGCATATAACCACCGACGCCCGATTCGAAGAGGCCGATGATGGATTCAATTTCATCGTGACAGTTCATCTCTGCTCCAATGGGTTCTCCATTCAGCAAACTCTTCGCAAGTGTCAAGCAAATTCAAATAGCACGATCGTTCCGAATATGTATGATGTCCAGGATCCTTGTGTGTTCGCCTCGATGATTGCAGGGATGACTGGGGGTGGTTTGACTCCGAAGCGGTTGTATGACCGGTCGTATGGCTTCTTTTAGAGGAAGGTGGGGGGCCGAATGCCAAAAGAATACCTACAACATGTAAGAGGTCAATTGTTGACGTCTGAGCACGCGACGGTGGCAACCAAAGTGCTAACGGCGATCGTTTGCATGCGGCTGGCCATCAATCAGCTGTAACAGCACCTACCACCATGAAAAATGCCATTTGCGACCAACGATCAAGCGACGGATCCCACCAAAATCTGATTTGCTTCTGGTTCTCAAACCGAAGAAATAAACTTTGGCGCTCTGGGGAGCGGCGGGGACAGTTGGATCCAAGAACCCCTGGCTCTTTGGGGAGGGGGGGCGGGGGCGGTCGAATCTTTGGAGGATTTGGGAACGGTTCGACAAGGAAGCTTGACAGAGAGTTGCCAGCTTCGATGAGGCCAGAACGCGTCGCTGCCTTGGGAAGATGAGGCTCTTTCGAGGGAGGGAGGGAGGGAGGGAGGGAGGGCACAATCGCCACAAAAACCACAAAAAAAACTCACTCTGGCTGGATCTTCTAACCCTGTTTAAGCAACCTGGCGAGGGCTTGAACCAAATCCTGGCAGTATTATTGGAGTGCCATGGTCGAATGTCACTCATTGCTTGTTTCCGCAGTAGTTTCCCTTGACTTATTCGCACCGACGCTGACCATCTGCATACGAATGTAAATGGCACGGCGTGGTGGTGTAGTGTAGGGGAGAAGCACATCTGGCAGTCGTGGTCATTGATCATGGTGTTTGGCAAGGGTTGGGCTCAAGCTTTAGACAGCGTTGGTCCAGCCAGGCGGAACTCACGAGGTTGGCAGTTTCAACTGAAGAAGCAACCCGAGCAGCAAGGAAGAAGAAATGAGGAACGTGGTGCAAGCTGCCCTCAGGGGGAAATCAGCGCTTGCTGCAGATTGTCGTTTGTTGCAGCTGACTGAGGCAGTCACGGCAGCGAATGCGAAGTGGGTGCCTGTGGCCCGTGGGTCGCAGGGCGTTTGAGACTTTGAGACGCGTTCAATTTCCGGTTGCGGCGCCACATGGCATGCGCACAGCAACAGGTCAACAACGCCGACATCCGAAGGAGAGGAGAAAAGCTCGAAGCTCGGACCACATTCACAACTCTTTACCTCCACGACCTTGTCCTTGTCGAACACTCGGTCGACGGTTGCTCCTCGTATTTCAAAAGCTACCTCCTTCCCACAACAGAGGCCTCACTCGGCTGCCACTCACCCTACCCCTCTGCTGAGCTGTGCCCTTTTGAAACGTGCGCAACTATCCCCTCTCTCCTCTTCGAGATCATTCTTGCTTCGCGCGCCGCTCCCCTCCACCTCCCCAATTCACAGCGCCCCATCTTCTCACGTTCACATTCAACCTCTCTCAAAACAGATAATGTCTTCACCTCCATTGCCGACCGACTTTTACCAGGTGGGTTGCGCGCGGAAGCCGTGACAGTGCTTGGCCGAATGTGTCTTTCAATGCTGAAGGCCGGTCGCTCATCTGCCCCCCCTCTCCTGTCCTCCTACAGATCCTTGGCGTCGAGCGCGATGCAACGCCCGAGCAGCTCAAGAAGGTGAGTCGAGCGTCTGGGGGGGAGGGTATCGCCGAACGGCGTCCCACGGCGTCAACGGGGGTTCTGTTCCCATTTTATTTCCCACGCCATGCGCGGCACTTCATCCTTCTTTCTGCGCTTGTTCCTTGTCTCAAACAGGGGTACCGCAAAATGGCGCTAAAATATCATCCGGATCGGGCTGGGTCTAGTCCGGAGGCGACGGAGAATTTTCAGCGGATCGGTGGGTTGTGGATGGGAGGTGGTGTGAGCTGCGGAGTAAGAGGAGATGTCTGATAGGAGAGGGGCTGGGAATGTTGTTGAGCGAAATGGGTACCCTGACTAATGTTTATTTTCTCTCCTCGTCCCCGTTTCAGCTCGTGCCTATGAGGTCTTGAGTGCGTATTGGCTTTTTTTCGGAGTTGTACAACCGGGACGAAGCTATGATAGAGGAATCGGTCCTCGGGAGATGTCCCGGTGATCGGCGCTTTCGATTATTCTAACGCTAGGTTTATTATTCCCCCCCC